CTCAACCCTGACTAATGCAAGAGTAGAACTAGTGGGAGCCTATTGGGAGCACACTCTTGAGGTGCAGAGAAAAAAATAGGGTTTAAGAATGCTGCTGGTTATGCATTGGTGGCCTTCCTTACCTTTTTTCTTTCTTTTTTCAACATTTTATACAGGAACTTATGATACATTTACTTAAATAACTGTGGTAGTTCAGTGAATCTGCTTTTTAGCAGTAGTCATTCTTGAGTCAGGAGCCTCTCCGATCTTGTGTGCTAGATATGTATGTTCCATCCATATTCCTGAGTACACGCCGGTTTTCTTGGCTGCAGTCTATTTAGGAGAACCTAGATCTTCTAACTTAAATGCCCCTCCTTTTCCTACAGGCTTTTACCCAAGAGAAGGATGTTTTTAGTACATACAGAACATTTCTTCCTTAAGGCCTAGGGTTCCTCCATTTTGGTCTTAAAAGTGATGTTTTAGGGGCCGCCTGGTGGCGTAGTGGTTGGGTTCACGTGCTCCGCTTCAGCTGCCTGGAGTTCGCACATTCAGATCCCAGGCGCGGACCTACACACTGCTCATCAAGCCATGCTGTGGCAGCATCTCAGATAAAAAAAAAAACAGTAGAGGAAGATCGGCAACAGATGTTAGCTCAGAGCCACTCTTCCTCACCAAAAAAAAGAGAGGTGATGTTTAGTTAACACAAAATAACTCCAAGTATGATTTTTATTACCTTAACTTTCCTTGGTTGCTTCTTAGCTGATTGGAATCCTTTTCTAAGAGGCATTTAAAAAAAAAACCTCTTGCCTCTCTGTCTCAAAGGACAACAAGAAATATATATTAAGCATTTCCTTAAGTGATAACACTGATATCACTCGTATCTCAGGACAAAACTTAATTTTTGTCATTAGTCTGTTGCTCTTTATCGAAACTCACCACTCTCATTCTTTGAAAACTCCTGCCTTTGGCCCATCTTACATCAACTGTTAAATGTATGTTTTTGTCATAAACTTAATAAGTTTCAACCATTAATGGTGGATGGAATCTAGTTATGACCAGTCACATACCTGGTATTGCTCAGTGATGATCGTGCTCTCTTCCTCTAATGTCTTCGTTCTTAGTCTCTGATTCTATTGCTGCTCTAGAAACATACGTCCATTTACTTTCGTGATACACCCATACAACAGGGTAAAGGGGGTAAGTCTTACAGAATAAAGTTATAAAACATGTGATCCTTCAAAATGTTTATGTCTTTGCCCTTCTAGTCCATCAACTGTCTTCATAGATGCTATTGAAAATTTTTTGGCTTTTTGTGTGTGTGTGTGAGGAAGATCAGCCCTGAGCTAACGTCCATGCCAATCCTCCTCTTTTCGCTGAGGAAGACTGGCCCTGGGCTAACATCTGTGCCCATCTTCCTCCACTTTATATGGGACACCACCACAGCATGGCCTGACAAGTGGTGCATTGGTGCACGCCAGGGATCCAAACCCCGGCCGCCAGCAGCGGAGCGCGTGCAATTAACCACTACACCACAGGGCCGGCCCTTTGGCATTTTTAAAATCGTTCATTTACTGGTCTTTTCTATTACCTGATAAAAGCAGGCATGACATGAATTTCTCAGACAGTAGTATCTGTTTAGGAGTTAGAGCTCTTAAATTTTGATTATAATATAATAAAGCAGACAATATAGAAATAAAAAAGGGAAGAATTTATATACACAGACTCACAGATTTATATGAACCTATCCATAACTCAAACACAGAATAAAAATAGACTCATGTATTTCATTTATGATCCTAGAGGTCTTAAAATAAGCTAACATTTTTGTACAAGATATTTATATTTCTATGGATAAAAAATTTAAAATTTGTCAAAATATACAGATCAGTCAAAACGTGGGAAACAAGTTTTCAGCATGGAACCAGGAGATTCATGCATTCAGTAGTTACTTAATGGCCCCCCACTGCATTCTTCCTGATACACTAGGCCTGTGATGGGAATTCGGCATGCTTTAACAGGGCCTTACAGAAGAACATTCATCAAGAAATAAAATGATATTTCTACTGCTTCTGATTTTTAGATCAGTATTTTAAAAAGTGAAGTGCCACGTAGTTTTAGGAAAATTTTTGGCCTTCTTCCTAATGATCCCTAAATGTGTTAATTTTATAAGATAGCAAGTGCAAGTGTCTAAACACAGAGAAAAAACATCTGTAAGAGGGTTTTTATTTAAACTGTACATTCTACTCAAAATGATATTTAAATACTGCTAATCCAGCTGTATTATACATTTCTTTCTCAACTCTTTATGGCCAAGATCCCTTCTCCTGATTACTTCAAAAGTCCAACCTGCAATTGAGGCTCTGTCCCCACATCCACTCTGGAAGGAGGTGGGGACGAGGTGGGGAGGGGGTGTGTGTGGAGGAATGACCCTCAGATTTATCAGAATTGCAATTAGTGACTTTAAATCAATCTGGGTTTGAATGGCAGGCTTTAACTCTTTTATTGCTGGATTATGGAGAGGTCTGATGGGTTCTGGAGGAGGGACCAGAGTAATGAGGGGAGAGGAGGTTGGTGGCTGCAACTGTTTACCAACTGGTATGGAAAAATGGTTTAATGGTTTGACCACCAGTAAGGTCAGCCCGGTGCCACCCCATCCCACCCCCTGGTTAGGAGGAGTTAACCTTAGAGAGAGGTGTGTTCAGTCAAGTGCCTGCCACTGTGGACCTAACTCTGCTTCTGTCCCTATGAAATGACCTACCTTTCCCTTTACTTCCTAACACAGCTGCCAGGGATGACAACTAACTCAAACTTTTCTCTTTCGGGGCAGGCTTCCTTTCTTCTCTGGCAGATATATTACAAACTACAAAATAGTCAATTTACTAAATTTTTCTTGGTGTACAGCAAGGCATAAAGACTGAAAAACATCTTATGAGCTAGGCCGCTTCCCTTAGGTGTACTTGCATTGTCTCATAAGATTGGAATGGCCCAAGCTGTACACGCCAACCTAGTGCAAGTTTATCAAGGCCTTTTATTTATAAATGAGGAAGACAGTATTTCATTCATTCTTTCATTCCCTCCACAAATATTTATTGAGAAACTTCTATGAGCCAGACATTATTCTGGAGATGCAGCAGGGAGCATAACAGGAGGAAAAAAAATCTCTGCCCTTGTAGTCAACTCTAGTGGAAGGAGAGAATAAACAAGGTAAATAAGCCAACTATATGGTATGTTAGAGAGCTATTAAATGCTGCTCATAAAGATAAAGCTGGGAAGAGGGATAGGTAGGAAGTGTTGGGGGTCAAGGAGGAGCTCCTTGAAAAGGTGATGCTTGAGAAATGACCTGAAGAAAATGAGGGAGTGAGGCATTTTAAGTTGAGGGAGTGAGGCATTTTAAGTTATCAGAAGAGCATTCCAGGCACAGGGAACAGCAAGTGCAACCACCCTGAGGTGGGGACACTCCTGGCACATTTAAGGAGCAGCCTGAAAGGCAGTGTGGCTGGAGTGGAGTGAGCTGCTCCACACTTGGAGAAGGAGGCATTCAGAGATCAAGGGGCCAGGTCGACAATTGCCTTAGAAGTCGTTACAAGGACTTTGGCTTTTCTGTGCCAGTTGGGAAACTATTAGTGGGTTTTGAACAAAGGGACCTAATCTGACTTACATTTTAATAGGATCTGTTTGCTGCTCTGTTGAGAAAGGGCCGTAGGGAAGCAATGTTGAAGCAGAGAGTCCAATTAGAAGGTTCTTGATGATAATTTGGACTATGTGGTAGCAAGCCAACAGGGTGGACTTGATGCAGAGTGTGAGAAAGAGATGAGTGACTCCAAAGTTACTGGCCTAAACAGATGAAGAATGACTTGTTCTTTATTGAAACAGGGAAAACTGTGAGAACAGGATTATTTTTGATGGGGGAGGAGAAAGGAGGGATTATCAGGATCTCAGTTTTAGATACCAACTTTGAGAGGGCCTTAGACATTAAGTAGAGATCAGATAGAGGTCCAGGATAGAGACATAAGTTTGGAATTCGTTAGCATATAAATAGTACTTGAAACCAAGGGAATGGAGGAGATTACCAAAAGAGTGAGCATAGATAACAAAAGAGAATGTGTCCAAGAACGGAGATGAAAAGGAGCCAAGAGAGAAAACAGAGTTTGGATCTGTGCAGGGTAAGGAACGTGGTATCCTGGAAGTAAGACAAAGAGGATTTTAAGAGGATGGTCAACTCTGTTTAACGCTGCTAATAGGTCAAATAAATGAGTTCTAAGAAATAACCACTGATTTAGTCATGGGGGAGGTCATTGATGATTCTGATAGAAATAGTTTTAATGGAACAAAGATTGAGAAAAGTCTGATTGGAAGGGCTCCAGTGGGAGATGAGAAATTGGGAGACAAAAACTATGTATAATACTTTTAAGCAGGTTTATTGTAAAGGGAAAGAACGAGATGACATGGCAATGGGTCAGGAGGCACCAGGCAGCCTGCTGAGGCAGCATTGTCTTAGGATCTGCGAATGGTCACATGCTATGAGCGTGAACATTAGCTGTGTATAGAGTCAGTGATCTCAGATGACCTTGCCTTGGATAGACGTATAGATTTTTGAAATGTTTGTCACTGATACATTAGTGCTAAAAAGAGAAAGATTAATCAAGCCAGCTGTCTTAATGTACAAATATTCTTCCCCATTTCACTTCTTTATATCCAATATTTTCTCCAGATTTCTCTTTGAAAGTTAGTTTTTAACTGTATTGCTTATGAGTCCCCTACGTTATAGTTAATTGTTTGCATGTCAGCCTCCAATCCTAGCCTAAGTTTCTTGAGAAGGACCATATTTTATTTTTCTTTACGTATCCATCTCATAGCCTAGCTCCTGGCACATGGCAGATACTCCATAAATGTTTTTTGAATGAATGACTGTTATGTTCCATATTGGCATATGAAGTGTTTGACATAAAGGTCAGAGTCTTCCCAAAGTTTGCTATTAATTTCTAAATGGAGATTGTGTTTGGTCATTTTGTTTTCCATAGAGTTCCTGTGGAGCAGGCATAGTGAGGACAGGCTCGCTGCAGCTCAGTAGCACATCCGTTGGGAATTCGTCTTTGAAAAGGACAAAGCGAAAAGCACCTTCCCCACCCTCCAAGTTACCCCTGCATCAAAGTGATGAAAATAGTCATGCGACTGGTAATGTTACTTTTCCTGTTAACATTACGTTTGTATTGTACTTCGTTTAATGCAGACAGTAGAAATGATACACGTTATAAATCATGTCTTTTTATTAAATAATAGTGCTCAAACTTAGGCTTATAATTAATTAATTTTAATAATAATACTTAGTCCCTGATTATTCTCAACTGCATTTTTAAAATCTGTGACATAACAATATAAAATGAAAAAAATGTACAACTCCATGAGCATGTGATAATGTGTGAATTTATTCAGCAAGAAACTGCCTTTCCAGGATTGACTACATGTAGGATGGGAATCTAAGTAGACTTTAGTTGCATTAAAGCTGGACGGTAAAATGGCTTCTAACAAGGTTAGGGCTATCTCTTTCTGAATTACATAAAAATAACTAAGTTAAGCTACTAAGGAATTGATTCATTTGTGACTGTGACTTGTTTAAAAGATGCGTTGCTTCTGTCTTCTAGCCCTGGAGTCAGTCCCTTCAGTTCCTACTGACAGTGTTTCAGAAGCAAACTCTCCTGAGAGGCTGTCCAGCCCAGGTATGACGCCTTTACTCCACATCCTGTAATTACTGAAAAAGAACTGTCATGACGGTTGAGGAATGAATCTAGTTATAATGCTCTGTATATGAAAGAGATACATATGTGTTAACTCCATTTCCCAGATTTTATATTTTTGAAATGAAAAACTTCCCTCCCTGTGTTTAGAGTATGAAACTGGCAGAACTCCAAATTTCAGTTCTGCAATGGTACCTTGAGTACTTTCCTTATTAGGTCTCTTGTTTCTCTTTATGCAATGTCAGGTTACCATTTATTAATCTCCTTCCCAAGGGGAATGAGACACTTTGTTAGGAATGTACCTTGGTGTGTTCAGAAGAAAACTGACATGAAAGTGAACAGCACCATTCTTTATGCAACTGTCCTAGGTATGAATTCAGTATACGTAGTGTCCTAATCTAATGGTAAAATGTTATCATGAAATATTTTCTACTATATGGTCTCATTTTGGATTCTCCACAAATAAATAAAATTCCAATAAAAACAAAAGAATTCAATCTAATACTGTTTCCTAATATTTTTAATAATAGCTATTTAGTAGCTATTATAAGAATAAGTATGATAAAATTTCTTAATCCTAGACTTAACTTAAAGTTAGATATAAATGAATATGACAGACTAATAATGTCTAATCAAAAATAGAATATTACTATGTCAGTACTTTAGCATGGGGGTAATTTGATAGATATAAAAATTGCTTAATATAACTCTACCTAATTTTTATAATTTGTATTCACAAATATAGGAAAAACTCACAAGCACCCAAATGCTCCCAAATCTTTAATCCTTGAGTGATATTTAGGACTTTGGGATTTTGACACATCTTATGTAAGAATTCTTTCTTCTGTGATATTGCTATTAGATAACTAGTAATGATTTTTCTTAACTCCAACCCAGAATAATATCAATGATACTGTTTTGTTTGACAAAGACAATTGATTAGATAATATCAAACTGTATAAGTGAAATGAGAAGATTCCGAAGTATTAAATAAAAGGTGTGACTGCTATTTAAACTTTGCTTGATATCTATTTCTCTTTCTCTTCCGTTTGTTTGTGTTACCTCTTTTTGTTTAATGCACTGAGAATTGTGAGCTAACAATTCTTATTTCTTCCAAAATGCCTCTCGATCTCTGCTTGCCTTAACTCTGTTGTCTAAGTGCCATTTCCATGGATTTTACTTCTTTGGCAGAAGCCTCCCTTAGCCTTGGGCTCCCCGGTCACGAACAGTGCCCTGTGCTCAAAGTGATGGATGAAGCCTCTCTCTCCGAGTGCCCTGGAACGCCCGAAGCAGCTGTAGCCTCTCTGACATGTAGGTGACCAGACCTTTCCTGCCTGGTGCTTTGTTTAATGCAGATTAAGAGGTCATCACATGTAGATTTGGTTACTTGTTCATCCCTTGTATAAAGATGTCTTGTAAACAAATAGTCGTTTCCCCCTTTTCACTTGAAATTTTATTACAGGTTTGGAGTTTGATATTTTCCCTTACTAGACAGGTGAATATGGCAAGGTGTAGGATGAATAAAATCAGTGACTCTGAGAATTTCAGCTTCTCTTCTGTTTGGCTTACTGCTTTTGGCAAAACTGTTTGAACTTTATTATTTCCAATGTGTAACTATATAATTATAAAAGAATATATATATTTCTTCTTTATTGAACTACTCATTTGTTATCTAGGCATGCCTTATTTTCTATAGTATTGCTTTTGATTGAGATTTTTATTTTTAAATTATTGAAATTATTTTATTACCAGATGGGAAAATTTTATAGTTAGGTAATACTTGAATTTTATCATAAATAATTTTGCTCAATTTTTCAGTGACTCAGAAACAGCCCTTATCACCTCAAACCAGTTATTTAAAATTAGTATACTATTATATACTGCTTATAGGAATGCAAAATTGTGTGGCGAGTTTGCAAAATAGTTTAGCAGGTTTTTTTTTTAAAAATAAAATTTAAGCATTCATTTTCTATACCAACCAGCAATCCCACTCCTAGGTATTTTCTCAAGAAAAATGAAAACCTACATGCACACAAAACCCTCCATTGTGTAAATTATTGTGTAATTCATAATTGCCCCAAAAGGGAAGCAACCCAATGTCCCTAAACTGAGGAATGGATAAACAAACTGTGGTCCGTCTATACATACATTGGGATACTACCACCTAGCCGTAAAAAGGAACAAATAACTAATACATGCAACAATGTGGCTGATCTCAAATGCACTGTGTTAAATGAAGGAAGCCAGACTTAAATGGCTAGATGCTGTATGATTTCGTTCATATGACATTCTTGCAAAGGCAAAAATATAGGTATAATGGTTGCCAGGGGCTGGGGTTGAGAGAGGGGTTGATTACCAAGGGGCAAGGGGGAGTTTGGGAGATGATGGAATTGTTCTATATCTTGCTTATGGTGGTGGTCATACAACTATATATATATCTGTCACATTGTATTCCAAAAATGATCAATTTTACTGAATATACCTCAGTTTAAAAAAATGAAATAGAAAACAACTCTGGTAGTAACTATAATAGTGTCGGACACAGTGAGCATTTTTTGAATGAATGACTAAATTTTAAAAAAACGTAGTTCACCAGAATAGATTTAATTTAATACAATTCTATTTTAGCAAAGAGTAGTATTAGTCAGACAGTTTTGCCATTTTAATTACCTCCAGGAAAAATATACAAGGTATCCCAAACGTCTTAGTGAAATTTTAAGCTTTAATAACTTGCAAGTAAAATGCTACAAACTTAGAAAAATGTCTCTTGAAAGTTTAATTATTTAAATTTCTTTTACATGTATTAAATTCTATGAATTTTAAATAATTTTTTAATTTTTTTTAATTCAGTCAATTTTTCTATCTTTAGAGGGACTGAAAAAATTAAGATAAAAAATATGCAAATTATATGAAGCTAAATAAGTGTAAAAGAAATTTCAATAACTACACTTTCAAATGATGTTTTCTGTAATTTTTTAATATTTATACTTTAGAAGTTGTTAAATCTTAAAATTACACTAAGATCTCGGACACTCTGTGTTCTTTGAAAGTGAATATTCTTCCTTTAGAACTTATGAAGCTGAAATACGAGAGTTGTGATATAACACTTGTGAAAATTAGTCATTGTTCACAGTGTCCACCCCAATTTTTTTTTTTTATCTTAGTCCTAAAATTTGGCCATTGTATCAGTCTGTTAACACATACAAAACAAATGTGATTTAATATTTTTCAAAGCTTGGAAAAATCTGTACTAGTCAAATAGCAAACTGTGAAAGTTCTCTTGGATGATTAGAACTTTTTAAAAGAATCACAGCCTTTTCTAAGACTTTTAATGATAGGAATATTTTTCAAGCTAGTAAAAAAATATATATTTAAGCAACACTATATGATGCTTGTAACTACCAAGTTATAAAATCCCAGAAAAATAATTTGAAAAGATTTTTGAAACATGTAACTCATTCTCCATACTTTAATTAACAGTTTCTCAGTGAGGGTCCATAGTCAAAGAAAAGTTGTGTATCTCTGAAATACTCATGATGGGCAAGGGAAAAATATGTATGATGATCAATACTTTGCGAAATGTTACCTTAGTTAGTCAGATTTCCAAAAGAGCTTAACGTATATCAGGGAGCCATTTATAAAACACATTTGCATCTAAACCAGAGCAGCCATTCATTTTTCTCAATACACAGTTTTCAAATTACATAAACACACTCTTACTATATAGATGTAATATGCTATCGTAGACACATAATATTGTACATTGGCATCATAATGAATATTTCACGTCATAATAAACAACATTTGCCAAAATATATATATTTAAAAATTCACTTAAATTCTTTATATTTTTTCTGTTGAGTAATCTATTTTTTATTTACAAGAGAATGCCATTAAGATTCCCCATATTTGTTTATTAAAGAGCACAAATAGCACACTTTCTGTCTATATGCCTAAAGATAAAATTAAATACATTTTAAGTACTTTAAATAGTCTTCAAATATGTTCAACTTTTTATTAAATTTGTAGATGTGCTGATCACTATAATCCAGTGCTATACTACTCTTCTTTTCCCCTCTTTGTGGTAAAATTAAACTTTGTTCAGCTGCTATTGTGTAAATGGAAGTGTTGAATTATATTTAAACAAACAAAGATCCAGAACCTCATTCTTTGGTTTAAATTTACTTTCACAGCTAGTGTGGACACTAACTGCTTAGGATATCTCCTTCTCTTTTACCTTGTTGGCCATTTGCTGTTGGTGCTAAGGAATAATAATAAAACACATTTTTATACAATGAAATATTAACTATAGCTATTGAAAAGAATCTCTCTTTATCACACACACACACACACACACACACACACATTGATATGGATGATCTTTAAGATATAGTAAGTGGAGAAAAAAAAGGTAGGTGGAAAACATGAAGTATAGTATGCTTCCATTTACGTTAAATAATGCAACAAGAAAGAAAGAGAAGGAAACGTGCGTATGCATGTCTGCTTATATATGCTCATTATACTTTCTGATAATATATAGGAAAAAACTGTTAAAGGAACTTGCCTCTGAGAATCAAACTGGATGGGAATAAAATTAATTTTCACTGTGTAATACTCATTCTATTGTATTTTTAAAAATTATATTAAGCATCTAAATCAGTGGCTTTTAACCCTGGCTGCAAATTAGAATCACCTGAGGAGCCTTAAAATCTTGGTCCTACTCCTTAGAGATTCTGATTTAACAGGTATGGTGGAGGGAGTAGGAAGCATCAATATTTTTAAAAGGGGCTCAGATAATTCTCAATTGTGGTTAGCACTGATAACCACTGAGCCAAATTTTATAAAAGTGCACTTGTAGACAATATAAAGATCTCATGTTTTTTTTTTAATTTGTATTTAGAGCTATTGCAGAACATGAAAATCATTTAAACTGAAAGATATATTCTTAAATGAAATACATAACTTGAAGTTTATTAGTTTAAATAATCTCTTTTTTCTACCATGAATAAAACCTAGAGTGATATCATATTATTTTTAGACGTATATGTGTCTGAGATAATCTGATTATATGTTAACATGATTAATCACCATTAAAAAAGTATTTCACTATTAGTTTTGAACCAGAATTTAAAAGAGCTCGGCTAACTATTATTTTAAAAATTCTTTCCTTGCCAGGATTGCATAGGATGAATGAGGCAAATTAATATTTAGTATTATATCTTCATTTCTTTGTAGCTGGAATAAGCTCTGATTATAGCCTTGAAGAGATAGATGAAAAGGAAGAACCGAGTGAAGTGCCTAAAGATGAGGCTGAAAATATTTCTCTGAAGTCACAAGATATTCCTTTTGGATCTACTGATATAACAAATACACTGAAAAATGATCCTGACTCAGCCCTTGGCAATGATACTGGAGAGTCCTCACAAAACTCCAAAGAAGAAAAACAAGAAGCTAGAAACACAGATGGGCAGTAAGTCATCTGTGTGCCAGAAGTGTTGGTAGCGGTTTGTTTAATTAATACTAGTCTTCTGAAATATAGTTCTGATGTTTTAAACACAAATATAGTCATCCCTTTAGTTTAGACTCTATCCCTTTTACCATCATTATAAAAATATTTAATTGCATATAATTGTTTTTAAATAAAATCAAATTCAACAGTTTTGGTATCCCTGTGTCAGATAAACCATAACATGTAATTAATTTATGACTCAAATATAAAAATTTTTATTTGTATTGTATGTGTTTTACGTATTAACTATTTGACCTAAATGAAACATTTAATTTTTAATTTTGACCAAGTTCTCCTCAAAGATTTTCACTGACTGATGCATAAAACAATTCTGCATATTACAGTATGATGTTAAATTACTAATATTATTTTTACAGTCAACTTTATGATGTAGAGAAAGCACTTTCCACTTGGTCCTAGGAACTGAAAGCTATAGTACAGTACACTTATATTATGTTAGAAATGCCACACCATGAATAAAGATGAAATCATCTAGGCAAAATAAACCATCTTCATCAAAGTTTTACTATAATTTGCATGGGATTGTCTTCAAATTAAACTCTTCTATCACCAAAAGACCCCAGTGAGTTCAATCCACATCCTGATTTGCCAGAAGTTGACCTTGCCAGATGCAAGACTAAAATGTCTCATTTAGGGGGCTGGCCCGGTGGCTTAGTGGTTAAGTGCACGCGCTCCGCTGCTGGCGGCCCAGGTTCGGATCCCGGGTGCGCACCGATGCACCGCTTGTCCGGCCATGCTGAGGCAGCGTCCTACATACAGCAACTAGAAGGATGTGCAACTACGACATACAACTATCTACTGGGACTTTGGGGAGAAAAAGGGGAAAAAAAGGAGGAGGATTGGCAATAGATGTTAGCTCAGGGCCAGTCTTCCTCAGCAAAAAGAGGAGGATTGGCCACGTTAGCTCAGGGCTGATCTTCCTCACAAAAAAAATATATATATATATTTAATTTAGTTTCCTTTTTATTTAAGAGACAATCGATAGTAACAAAAAGACACTTTTCTTGGAAAAGTGTCCATTTTCCCAAGCTTCTTACATCTTTGTCTGTAATAGGACCACCATATGAAAGGTAATGTTTCATAGCAGCATTTCCTCTCAGTTGTATTTTTTTCTTTGCTATTAAATTTCCAGTATTTGGCAAAAAAAAAAGATGATTATTTCAGTCCATCTGTCTTTGGAAATTATTGCCTGTTTTCTCATTGTGTAAGTGTGTGTTTGAATAACATCAATATATAACATACAATATTTCGTATTGTATGTCACATATTTTACAGGGGACCACACATTATGGTGTATAATGCAAGCAATGAAGAGAGGGTAGTTGACAGTGTAAGAAACTTGAAGTCATTGGGCCCAAACCAAGAGAATGGTGAGTTCTACAAACACTAATATCCAACACTTTCATAGCACTTACTATGTGCCAAGGACCATTCTAAACACTTCAGTCATGTGTCACTTAATGACGTTAAGAGGATACTTTCTGAGAGATGTGTCAGACGATTTCACTGTTGTGCAAACATCATAGAGTGTACTTACACAAACCTAGATGGTATAGCCTACTACACACCTAGGCTATATGGTACTAATCTTATGGGACCACTGTCATATATGTGGTCCATCATTGACTGAAACGTCGTTATGTGATGCATGACTGTATATTAACTCATTTAATCTTTATATTAACTCATTTATGAGTATTATTATTTTTAGTCCCATTTTATTGATGATGGAGCCCCAAAGATATTATGTAACTCACCTGAGGTACCACAATTACTAAGTGATAGACCTCGGGTTTGAACTCAGGCAATATTACTCCAAAGTGTGCTTTTAACTACCGTGTGTACTACTTCTGTTGTTGTTAAATCTTAGAAGTTATCTGTCTTAGATATTGGATCTTAAAGATGTGTACTCTATGCATCTTCTTGTGCTATATTTCTCTTTATTCCTTCTACTGACTCCCTAGTCCAAGCCTGTTTTACTTCATACCCAAGTTGCTATATCTTGGGTGAAACTTGTCTGCCTGATTTTAAGTCTCTAATCATCTAATTATGTAATGTTCTTTACCAGTATTTCCCACTACCCAGCCTCATATCAAGACAATTCCTTCTCTTTCTCATGCTATATTTCACTCAGTTTTATAATTAGGCCTATGTTCCTTTTTGTCTGCATGGAAAGCAATTTTCTACCTATCGTCACCCGTTCAACTACTATCCAAATCCTGCCACTTCCCTTATTTTGTTACTTGATCACTAGAAGCCATGTAGTTCCCTGATCTTGACTCCTCACCCAGATTGGACAGTTTTGGATCAGAGAAATTATATCTGATAATTTGTTTGAACTCCTCATAGTACCTAGCATAAAACTGAGATACTGTTAAAATACATACTTAGGATTGAATTTCAGAAAAAATGATATTACACAAATAGAAGATGCAAGGAATGCACAAAGGTATTTTAAGGGAATATGAAGGAAGTGACTTATGGATTCTCATATTCCAATCTATTATGTTAATATACAAAACTAAGTTAACATTCTTAGAAAACATAGGGATATATATATATTCATATTTGGATAAAACATGGATTATCCCAGTGTCACAAATAGATGGATAGATCGATAGATATAGATATATGTCATTTTACATATGTAATATGTGTTGGTTAATTTGAATATGTAGGTCTCTGATTCAGTGCTATCCCGAGATACAATACTAAGGTCTAAAAGTATACAATTTCCCATTCTTTTCCTCTTGATTCAGTTTTTTACAACATATACTATGATGACAATAGCATTTCTATTGAGAAATCATAATTTAAAAGCTGTTTCCTTCTTTTTAAAATCATAGTCACATTAAACCATTTTTGCTAAGATTTTGGCATCAAGTTAGTGCTGGGGTCACAAGTACATTTCCATAATAGTATTTATTGTGATTTGCACTTGATTTGCAATGACCTTTGTCAACTCTGGTGATTTTTAAAATAAATAATTTCTGTTATCCTTAAAGTAGTTTTATTCTGTTTTTCCTCCTCCTTTTTTTACCTACCCTGTATACTTATCTAAATCATCCTTTTGTCAGGTTGTAGAGGTTGGTGTCAGTTTTGAGTAAGGGAAGGACAGGATAGTACAAAATATACCTTCTCCCTCTACTGGCCATTCTTGGAAAATGGCGTAACCATTCCCTGACACTTGGTTAGCATGATTATCAGTTTTGTATGAGGATGGATTAGCTAATAAATTCAGTAGTAATTCTAGGTTTCCAGGCCTGACAATCATTGGGAATAATCATGAAACTTTGATGAGAAATTCAGAGTTAGACAATGATAAAGTAGGTGTAATCCACTGAAAATGTGAAAAATAGAAAGCTGGAGTTCTAAAACCAATAAATTAGGATTTGTTTTAGGAGATTTAATTTAAAATATATTTTTACGTTGATTTACTTCCTTTTGGAAAATATTTCTATTGTGTAGCTGGAATATATCTATAGTCAATGGAAAATAAGAAATAAACAAGAGAGAAGGAAATACATTTAGGCTCATTTCCTGGTGCCAGAGACCATTTCTTATATTCTTTTGTGCTTGTAGCAGTGTTGAGAGTAGTAGTTTTCATATCGATATGAAAAATAGATATGATATAGATATGATAAAAATAGATATTATATTTTTCATATCGATATGAAAAATACTTGTGAACCAAGTAAATAAGTACATAGGCAGAAATGTGCCTCTTCCATGGTTCCTAATCACATATGTCCTTAACTTTATAAATTACAAAAGTTAATAATTACTAGTCTTTGAGAGAAGTCACTCCTACAGACAATACATATTCTGATCATCAGTTGCATTTTATTTGGGAAGAATAAAAATGAATTCCATGTTAAAATTATATATTTAATATAGGAACCTTGCAACATAATAAAGTATAACTACTATGACCAAATAATTGTGCAATTAGGCAAGATTTAAAAATATGAAGATATTTTAAAAAATTGTTTCTACACAAATTTATCTGGCAACATGATTTTTTATTTGCATGCATATCTTTCTTTTTCCTTTTTTAACAGAGGACGTATTTTAAGTAGCTTATGACATTTTAGGCAGTGAACTTGATCTTTATCTTATAGGTGAAAGTGAGTGATGATAAAACTTTAGAGAAATACTTGGCATTCATTCACAATTGCACTCCCAAGGCCCACATTTCGCTCTCGCTGTACAATCTACCATATCTGAAAGGGGAGACCACTAAGGATTTGAAGGTGAGGGCTAGTTGGTCATTCAGGAGAAATGATTCTTCCGGGCATTTTACTAGAGGAGCACAGTATATACATCACTTCGCTCAGTATAGACACATGGCGCGCACTCATAAAACCTGTGTTTCCTTCCAGATGCCTCATTCCAATTCTTTGCCATCGTGTTATTGGCTGTCAACTGTTGCTTTGTTAACCTAGACACTGACAGATGATGTAATTTTCAGGAGGTCTGAATTAGAATTAAGAGGAAAAGTAGTGCAAAGAAGAGGGAGGTTATTTTCTCTACTTGGACTCTAACACGAGAAGGATAAGGGTATCTTTCCCACAGAGAAAAATCAAAACCCACGTAATTGTTTTCGTGTAATTGAAATCACCCATAGTATGACTAAAAACAAAGTCCTCTAAAAGTCTTTAGCAAGGACATTTAATTAACAAGACAATAATCTTAGATTCTATTTTTACTTCAACTCTTGAAGATAATGTTTCTGTTGTCTGCCTTAATTAAAAGTAATAAGATTTGCTGAGATTGTTTCCCTTTTAATGTTAGGTATGAAATATAAATACACTAAAGGCTATAGAAGGACAGAGGGAGAATCAACATGGAAAAAAAACAGAAGAATAAAAAATATATTTTTTGAATTTGTCAATATCTTGTCATTCTTAACAATGACTGAAATGTGAAGTCTTTACTTATAAGAAGAAATGTAGCTATCTTCTGTGGAGTGCTTATTCTTGGTAATACCCTATCCTAATAAGCACATCATATAAATGATATATAAAATATAATACCTATTTTTACCTTTTTACATCTGAACAAACTGAGGTTCAAAGGGGTTAAGTAACATGCTGTGGCCACAGATTGTAGTTAATCAAGCCGGGTTCCAGACTCAGGTCTCTATGACACCAAAGCCCATGTAGTTTTCTCTAAATGCCACTACCTTCTTTTGTATAATTAATGAGCTGAAAATTGTCTGTAGAATTCAAACTAACCTTTTTCAGTTTCAGGGAGGCAGGCATTGAAAACTTGAGGTTTTTCTAGTTTATTCATATACTTGATGACTTTTTTTTTCTCTCAGTAGATCAAAATGAAATAATTATCATTCCAACGAACACAGAAGGTAATATGAAAAACAGAGTGAGGAGAACAGAAATCAATGCAGGAGGTGTTGCCAAAAATAACAATGTGGACATGGAAGCTGACAGACTATCAAACTGTGAGGCACATAAAACTAATACTGCTAGAAGTTACAAGGAAAATCATCCAGTTACTTCAGTAGTACGAGATCAAAAACGGAATCAACCCAGTGCAGAAAAGACAAAAATGCAAGATGCAGCAATTCAGACAACCCCTTCCTGTAACAGTTTTGATGGGAATCACCAAGATCGTAATTTGTCTGACTTCAAAGTTGATGAAAGTGTGCAAACTTCAAGTAACAACAAATCAACTCAACACTCACCTTTAAGTCCACAAGGCTCTGTGGATACCTCAAGAGAATTCAGGAGTCAGGGCCCCCTAATTGAACATTCAGAAGATCGACTCACCAGAAAAGACCCAATTTGTGCACAAGGTAATGATGACCTTTTGCCTCCTGTCGATGGGATTGATAAAAATTCAACTGCTTCTTATATAAAGAATTATCCACTTTACAGACAAGAGTACAATCCCAAGCCAAAACCTTCAAATGAAATTACAAGAGAGTACATACCCAAAATTGGGATGACTACTTATAAAATAGTGCCTCCCAAATCCCTGGAAATATCGAAAGATTGGGAATCAGAAACCATAGGGTATAAAGACAATCAGGAGATACATACTTTAGGGGAAAAGCACACTCATGAGAATGTAAAAGAAACTGCAATCCAAACAGAAGATCTTGTTATTTCTGAAAGCCCAAAGGAGCCACAGGCAGACCTTAAAGGGAAGCCTACCCCGAGAACAGAGCATCAGGGGCGCAGTGGGCAGAGCTCTCCCCCAAGCACCACCAAGAATCCTCTGAAACCTACTCCCAGAATGACGAGAGACACTGGCACAGCTCCTTTTGTGCCAAATTTGGAAGATATAAACAATATTTTGGAGACAAAATTTAAATCTCGGGTTTCAAATCCTCAGACCAAACCAAGTTCTTTTTTCTTGCAAATGCAAAAAAGAGTTTCAGGTCACTATGTGACGTCTGCAGCTGCCAAGAGTGTCCACGCTGCCCCTAATCCTACTCCGAAGGAACTAATAACGAAAGAGGTGGAAACGGATATAACACCTCCTCCAGAGCAAACTCTTTCCCCCTTAAGTAAAACAGTTCACTCTCCTCCACAGCCCCACATGAAAAACACTAATGATGACATCATCAGTAAGAAGCCTCCTGAAACCTCTCCTCCTCCCGTAGCTCCGAAACCTGTTCCTCTCCCCGCGAGGCAGTTGGCTGCACTAAATCTGAAGACTTTGAAAACTTTTGGCGCCCCGCGACCTTACTCCAGCTCTGCTCCTTCGCCGTTTGCCCTCGCTGTGGTGAAACGGTCACAGTCTTTCAACAAATCACGCAGAGAGTCGTGCGATGAGGGTGCGTCCTCCCAACCTCCAGCGGACACAGAGGAAGGGAAGACTCCTCCTGTAGATAAATTTGTGGACATCCCACAACTAGGTGTGAGTGATGAGGTAAATGTTACCTTTTTAAAAATAAAGGATTCTTATACAACGTGGTTTACATGGGGGTTAACAAGCTTGTGGGTATGTTTATTACTTATGTCTGCATTCATATTAATCTGATATCAAGCTACTGTAAGGAAAAAAGTGGTAATACGTAGAATCCAATTATTCACTCAGAATTATTATAATTCATATAACTTGATCGAATATTACTGTAAGGTCATCATTATATAATTGTATCCTTAGCAAATATTTTAATTTAATGTTTCTCTGCTCATACATTCATATAATGTACTAGTTTATAGTTCTGACTATATTTTCCTGTGTTTTGCTATCTCAATCTGTTTATAACCTTTCTGGATGTTCTGGTTTACTTGATTTTCTTCTCCAATTCTACATAATAGCAAAATTGATAGTTTCAATTATATAGAAGCGTAAGCAGTATCAAAGACTAGATAAAATAACCAAACATAGCTACACATTTTCTATCCTATACATTCAACCTCAGCTTACCAAACATTTTTACATGTAAATAATTTAAATTGAAACCAGAGTTCAAATATGTAATTTTCTTAATTTCCCATTTTGTTAATTCAGTGTCATCTTTTCCAATTATATGTATGTTGACCAAAATATCATTTAACTACAATCTAACCTTAATAATTTACAAAACGGGTGATTTGTTGACTTAGCGTTTGGTTGACTAAGCGTTCTAATTTCCTAGGTTCAGATAGTATAGTCAAAGGAGAAGATGAAATTCACATATGAATTATGATAATTCACATGCGATTTTTAAAAAATACTTTGTGTACTTTTACTCTGATAGTGTTTAAAGAATACTTTCATATTTGTGTGACAGTTCCAGAAGTATTTTATACTACTTTTTCAAACATTCCTAGTGTAACAGAACATTAACCATATTGCCAAGTAAAGATTTTTCCATAATTTTAAAGCAATATTTATCTTGAAGAATATTTCTTCATATATTTCACATTTATGTTTATTACTTTGTTATAATGTCAGGAAGAGATGTATGGTATAGAGATTAATTCTTTACTTGGGAGCAAAGCCTGCGTTTTTTCTTGGGATGGAATATCATTCCTAAACAACGGAAGCTTGATTTAGAAAATACAGTTTTTAAGCCATTGCCTGAGCTCTGTTTAGCTCATCTTTTGTAAAGATATTTATTTGGCACTTTGAAAAAGACATTTTTAAGATTTTTTGATAACAGTTGCCAGTTAAATCAGTTACTAAATATTCTTTCCTAAGATGTTTAATTAAATTTTTGATTCTTCAATTTCTTCAAATAAAAATTCCTAATTTTTATTTTTAGTCTCATGGGAAAAATAAGGAAACATGGCCAACACTTAGTCCCTGTGACTTCTAGAGGCACAAAATAAGCTGTTACATGTAGCATAGTAATTAATATTCCTTTATTAGAAGATATGCTAGATTCAACCAATATGAAATTGCCAATATTTGTCCATTTTGTACCTTCAAAAATAATAATTTCACAACCTAATATGTTGGAACTATGACAATGGGTTATTTTTTAGTCTGTGGAATATTTTTATTGTTAATTTGGCTCTTCTAGCCAACTCCATTGGAGAAATTAGCATTATTTGACTCAAGGACAGTAAAATTACCCCCGTGTTCATGAAACAAAGAGAAGTACCACTTTTCTTCCTTAGCCCCCTGGGTTCAAGAGAAGGGAAATTAATGCCCTCATCTTCCGACTAAGCCCTGGCAGCAGAGATAATTTAGCGGGTAAGGAAATAGAGCTTTGCCTAGAACAGCAGTGTGGCAAATGATGATTTTTAAAGAACAATTGATAATGAAAATTTTTTGAAAAATGGCCCGTTCTTTACTTGGTATTTATATAAATATTTTGCATCTATTTTTATAGGAAAATAACTCTGCACATAATGAACAGAATTCCCAAATACCATCTCTGACTGACTGCCCATCATTCACCCTTAAGAGACAAAGTTCTTTAACATTCCAGAGCTCTGACCCAGAACAGATCCGACAGAATTTGCTGACTGCAATCCGTTCTGGAGAGGCTGCTGCCAAATTGAAAAAGGTAAGTTTTCTTTATCAGATGGATGACAGTGGGTTTATTTTCAACATTGTCAAACTAATGCTTAGGGGAAATTGTTTTCTGGCATTTAAATCTGAATAGGGAAGATGGCAGAAGTTGCTTTTTTATGTCAGGGGTCATTTTTGAAGTATAAGCTGAGAGAGTCCAGAGTCTTACACATACTTAAAAATATGTCAGGTCTATTTTCCACGACATGGGCCAGGTGCAGAACACGAGTTTTGCTCATTATTATGTAACTCTATATAGAAAGTGCCCTGGACTCTTATTTTAAGAAATTGTTAGCACAGCAAGAAGGGTTCTTTTGAAAAGAAAACCCCTCCCTATTTCAGAAAAACTGCCCTAGCGATAAGAACCTGCAAGTTTTCATTCATAGCTCCTATCGTGGTCAAAGTTACTACCCTGTGGGAGGTTGTGGGAGTGGGGAGTAGTTTTATAGGTTAAACCAAAAAATGTAGGGAAAATCTAGAGAAGGTAGATGAGACCTAGTGCAGAAATTCAAGTCTTAATCATACCCAGCCAGAGTTGTCTGTCTCCTCCTTACTGAGGGGTAGGCAAGCTTCAGGGGAGGAGGTGTGCTGCTTCTCAGGGCAAGTACCAGCAAAGGTCTCAGGGAACTATATGCAGAGGAGTTTCCTCCCTTTGTCACCGTCGTCCACCGAGAGAGGAGGTGGTGAAGCCTGAAGCCTGGCGTCATCACTTGGACTTCCAGAGGCTCTAGTCTCCCTAAATGTCTCTCTTGTTCTCCCCTTACTCATCTTGGTTGCAAGTTCCTCAACACCCAACACAAGAAAAGTATTCATTATCCCATTGACTCCCTAGGCATTTCATTTTGTGAATTCCTTCTCTCATCATTTTAGAAGCTATATTTAGAGAAGAGTAAGAGACTTGTTGTTGAGCAAAACACTGAGCTCAACAGAAATGAAATCTGCGAAGGAATAGGAATGCTGCAAAGACAGAAAGAAAGGGGAAGGCATCTGGGCACATCTACATTGGCCGGCCTTGCCCCCGCCAGCCAGTTTCCTCTGTGTGTTTCAGTGGAGCCATGAGAGCCGTTTCGTGGCAGCTGTTCTCAGAGAGGGCTTGGCATTCCCATCTGGGCAAACATGGAGACAAGGCAAAATATTGCATGCTGTCTAGAGTGGAGGAAATGTGAAGGAATGATTCAGGGGATTAGGTTTGCATTTTATAGATTATTTGTAGAGTCTGAATTTAGGTGCCAAGCAGCAAAAAAATTTGGTATACCTTTGAATATTCAAATCGGTACTTGACAGGTCATGAAATTTATATTTTTGTGGGGAAATATGTCCCTGTTAAATCATACTTTCTCATTTATAAAAATATTTCTACTTCTAATCTTGTAAATTAAGGATGAGTTTCAAATCAATCATTTCTGATCTAAAGCTTTTTCTCAATTCAAGAAATTTGACAAGCTTTTTTTTGTTTTTTTTGAGAAAGATCAGACCTGAGCCAACATCTGCCAATCCTCCTCTTTTTGCTAAGGAAGACTGGCCCTGGGCTAACATCTGTGCCCATCTTCCTCTACTTTATATGGGACACTGCCACAACATAGCTTGACAAGCAGTGCGTTGGTGTGCGCCTGGGATCCGAACTGGGGAACCCCGGGCTGCCACAGCGGAGTATGTGCACTTAACCACTTGTGCCACCGGGCCAGCCCCTTTACAAGCATTTTTTAAGCACCTAAGGACCAAGCACTGTACTAGATACTAGGGATACCAAAATGAGTAAAATAAAGCCTCTGCCTTCTGGGTGTTCACAGCCTGGGACTGAGAAACAGTGGTACATCAGGCCTACAGAAGAACCAGGTACCTACACAGAAAATAATTGCAGTGTCTTTGTATTAAGTCAGTGGATATATTGATCAGTTTCAATGAATTAATTGCAGAAAACAGTGCATTAAGTTGGAAATGCCTTTTAAGCCAAGAGAATTGTACAGGCAAGCAGCTGTATGCTTGATGTGTTAGGGGCCCTGATTTGGCAGTCTCTTCACATATAAAACTCGCATTGCTTCCAGAATGAGCTGGATGTGGATCAACACAGAAAACAGGCCCTAAATGATGATCCTATAATTGTATCCTGTTTATAACTCATTACTTTAGGTTCTATTGAGTCTAAATTTTCTCTTTCAGTAGAGGGTTATTGATAGCTCTGTGTCTGTAAGTCTAAATAGGGCTAGCTCCTAAATTTTATTTAATGAAAATTTCTTATATAATCCATTTTATTCCACTAAAAATTGACACAGGGTCTAGTAAAGTTCACAGTATCCATACTCCATGATCAGCATTTTCACTTCTAGTTGTATATGCTAAAATGGTGTGTGTTTGTGTACCAGGACTCACATATTACAAGAATATCCATGGAATATTTTTTGTAATAGCTCCAAATAAATATAACCTCAACATGCAAAAATAGTAGAATAAATAGTAATATATTCAAAGAATGCACAATCATATAGCAATAAAGTGAACAAAATACAGCTAAACACAACAATGTAGATAGAGACATATAAAAATATATGTGTATACTGGGCCAGCCCCGTGACTTAGTGGTTAAGTGCGCATGCTCTGCTACTGGCGGCTCGGGTTCGAAACCTGGGCGCGCACCGATGCACCACTTGTCCAGCCATGCTGAGGC